AGAATTTTAAAAAGCACCTCTTACCCCACATGAAACACTTGTCTTCACTTCAAAAAGCTTTTTAATAAATATATGCTTTGTATCATGAATATGTATCATTCTAGCAGCCACAGCAATAGTTACAGCCATGGACGTCTACTGAACACTTTGATTTGCCAAACACAGTTCTAACATCTGTATTAAATTTTTCCAGCAACCCAATTGTGGTAGGTAGTGATGCAGGAAAACAGATGTGGGGCATGAGAAGGGCTGTGTCCCAGGTCTTGGTTGAGCCCCTGGGACATGCCCCACCAAGTGTGGGTCCTTGGCTTCGCACAGGAAAGAATTCAAGAGCGAGCCACAGTTGAGTGAAGGTAGATTTATTCAGAGATACATTGAAAGGCAAGAGAAAGGCCACAAGGTGTGGGGGTTGGGTGCTCAGATTAAAAGTAGGTACACATTCCAAAGACGGAATGCAGGCCGTCTCCGAAGAGGGAGAGAGAGGGGAGCGGCCACAGGCGCTGTGTTGCTAGTTTTTATGGGCTTGGTGTCTTTATATGCCAATAAGTAGAAGGACCAGTCTAAGGGGAAGGGGCTGGGATTCCCAGGAAGTTGTCCATTTTCCACTCTTTGACCTCTTGTGGCTAGCCTTGGGACTGCCATGGTGCCTGTGGGCATGTTATTCACCATGTTAATATATTACAATGAGCGTATAATGAAGCTCAAAATCTACTAGAAGTTAAATCTCTCATCCTGAGCCTCAAGGCCTACTGGGGTTTGAATCCTTCACCATTTTGATGTTAATTTCTGTAGCATTCCTTGAATGGCTGTGCCCTGCCCCCTTCCTGTCTCACTAGGATTTCAAATTTTCCTAGTTTCATAAGATGTGAAACGTGAGACACAGAGACATTAAACAACTCACCCAAAGTCACACAGCTAATAAGCTGCAGATATGGAATTGAAACCCACGCAGTTCGACTCCACATCATAGGCTCTTATTCACTTAACAATATATATCATGATCAGTTTCCATGTAAATAAACATACAGAAACAGCATTGTCTTGATTGTTACATGGAATTTTGTTTTAAGGGGATAACAGTTGATATACTCAGTCTCCCATTGTTGGACATTTAGGTTGTTTCCAATTTTTCCATGATACAAACATTACCATGGTAAACATACCACCATATACATCATTGCATGCCTGTCTTGTTCTTTCCTTAGATAGACTCCTGTAAGTAGAATTCTTGGTTTCGTTTTTTTGAGACTTTTGTGCAAATACTCAAATTGCCTTCCAGAAAGATTTTTTTTAACACTTAGGACATTTGAGTGTATGTTTCCCTGTATCACCAATAATGATGATGATTCTTTTCAAATCTTTGTCTCTCTGACACAGAGAGAATGATATTTATTGTTTTATAAGGTTAAGCTCCTTTTTCCAAATAGTTAATAGATATTTTATTTCTTCATTAGTGAATTGACTGTAC